TACGTATGTAATGTTACGTATTTGCCGTCACAGGGATTTGAGCCCCCGACCTCTTAATTGAGAAGCAATAGCGGTTGCCCCCCTTGGCTACCATCACTCTCGCTCACTGACCCACAGTTGACATCATATTGCACATGAAATCAAACATTGTCGTAACTAACTAACTCGTAACTCAAAAATTTTAAAAAATAATAACGCACTTACTCTACATAGTCCCGCACTAGGGAATGCCTGTGTTGCGGGTGCCATGGACACATACATAGACTGCCACAAATTACACCCAAACTCACGAGAGATATAAATGTAGGCGAACCTGGTGCCTCTGCGTGGCAGTCCGGGATGGTAACCGTTCGGCAATAGAGGCAGTTAAAAAATACTAACTGAATCCTATGGCGAATAACGGGATTATATTTTTTTTTATACATAGTTATCAACTTACAAATGAGAATACAAATTTATTGGCTCCATTCCGTCATTTTTTTACTTTGAAATTGTGTCATCACAATTCCAGCAATGTTGAGTTGCGACAGTATTTGTTTCATATATGAAATCTAATCGCATATAGAACTTAAGTTTGAGTAAAACCTTAGTTAGAAGTAAAGTCAAACTCAAGTAATCTTCATTTCATTGGGTTTGGAACTATAAAGGTACTGCAGGTTCAGGTTCAGTACATTACTCTCCATTGCTCATTGGCAGACCTTCAGTTTGGACGTCGATTCTCAAAGTATATGGTTGAGTAATAATAAAAAATCAATCTAAAGAGTAGCAGTAGACCTCGTTGCGAAACAGTTCGTCCAGAGAAGTACTGCCAGCTTACCTATTTTTGCCGCCGAACAGTAATGTGAGCATTGCTGCGTTTCGGTTACGAAGTGTAATGATGTTTGTGTCTTGTCAACTTATGTTTCAGGGTGACGGGCGCAGTGGCAGTGCTGATGTTATATTATAGACGAGTGTGTCGCTTACAACCACGCACATGACTTGTACGTCCCGTCATTTTGTATCATAAAAAAAACTAGTTACTACCCATATGCAAGGCAGATTGGCCTGAGAAGAATGTGTAAGAAACTCTAGAGGTTGCTCTTTGCAAATACACATTTGTGCACACATCACAAAATGAAATAATATTATAATTACATGATGACATATTATTGACATTTAATTAAAATAATATCAATCACGGTAGCAATCAGAGTTGCGACAGTCGTAATTGAGATGTTGCGTCCATCCTCGGCCGCGGCCGCGGCATGAACATTAAGGCGCTTAGCATAATCACATATTTTATAATAATAAATGATCATTGATTTCGTGAGTATCGTTGACCTGTCGAGTTAGTAACGATGTAACTTAACTCAGTTTTACTAACAATTGGCTATATATATTTTATTATTATTCAAGTATCACCTACTCAACATGCTCCAATACAACGGCGTCAGTCACTGCTGCCAGCTTGATGTCATACGCAGGCTGCACTCAACGCAGCAAAATATTTATGACGTTGTTTAAAGATTAATTGTGAGCAGATTTTTTTTAACATGAAGTAAAGGAATGGATAAGTGGATAAGTCGTACGCCTGGTGGTGAGTGACACGTCTTTTACAACGCAAAGACCGGAGGGGCGCTGTCGTTGCACCCGCCACCCTGAGATTCAATGTTGACCAGTACCACATGCCTGTAGTTTCACCAGCACACTTATCCTTCAAAACCGAAACGAAGTAATGCCGCCACATTACCGCTGGCGGTAGAAATAGTATACGGTTCTATAATTAGATTCCGGCTTAAAACTATAATTAAACAAATTTTTACACTAAAGGATGTAACCTTTAGTGTAAGCATTTCTTCTGCATAGTTGAATAAAAATCCGTTGTAGTGACCCATTTAGCTATTGCAAGTATTCTCGATCTAAGATGTTTGAAATATATATTGCAAATTATAAGGTATATTTACAAAGACCAACCCCTAGAGTTTCTTCCAGAAGAATCTGCCATACAAATGTAATTAATCAATACCACCAATTCAAGTGTAATTTGCTTACCTATGAAATAAAGAAAATTTTGAATTTTTAATTTCTTCGGACGAACTATTTCATAAGAAACTCCACTGCTACTAGGAGTCCGCTAATCCCCGACTGCACTGTTTCACTTGTATACGATTTACTTATAATGTACTACGCTACAACTGCAAAAAATGTCGTTTTAAGATGAACCTATAGTTGTTTATTACCAAAACTAGAACCTTCGTGACTTTGATTTTCCAATACATTGATCCTTCTCAAAAGGCTTGTATTGTGTACTACGGCGTAATCGTTTGCCCTCGTAAATTCGTATTCGTAAGTTAATATTAAAGTATGTGCATGTTTAGTTAATGCATAGTACCTTGCGTTGATTTTTGGCAAAGAAAAAGTATTACTATAAATATTTTTATTAAATGTATCAAACAATTTCTAGGTCTTTAACGAGGGAATTCAATTAACTACACTACAACACACAACCCTCGCAACAAAACTGATTTATAAAATATCGTTTGTTAAATTGGACCTACCGGGAATCGAGCCCGCGACTTCCACATAGGGCCGACAATGTTAGCCGCCGAGATTGTCAAAGACAAAACATAAATTTGGAAATAAATAAAAGAGAATATATCCACCACCACCATCTTTCTACAAGAATCACACACTGCCATTTTATGGGCTAATCTAGAATGAAATATCACTCCTGGAAAATCCGACGTTCTTCGACCTTGAAAAGGAATAGTAAACCTTCAGGAGATGAGAAATAAACTATTACAGATGCCAGTTCGCTGGTGGATCCCAAGCTTGCCTCCACGGGAGGGGTTAAACATATATAGCAGCGCGACTCCCGCGCCGCTTACATCAGTGCGCCGCCGTCCACGCACGGCCGCCATTCCACATTTCGAGCGAATCTCAACTGTCAGTTTGTGAATTAATTCGGCGGCTCTTTTTTGGAATTTTTGATCTGTGGTTTTCTGGTGAGTGCGAAGTGAGTGTTTCATTTTAAATTCGTATTGTGATTAACTTCAGTCATTTTACCATAAAATTAACTTACGTACTTACTGATACGTCTGAATCTCAACAATGTAGACAGAGACTACGGACGTCTACTTGCTACGATCCTGACATGCCTCTTTCACTTCGCAAATAATTACTCATATCGTAAAATGTACTGAGGAATTTTGAACTTTTCTCACAAAATGCTAGTTTGCAATACAGCTACAGACGTATTAATTTGCAATACAGTTATTATAACAATTTTTTGTAACTATGTGCTTAATATTTAGGTACATAATTATGTGGTATCGACCACTCATCAAATTGCAATAGCTGAATCGTTGTTGATCATCTTAATTCGCTCATAGACTACGCGGAAACTCAGGCTGGTCTCAATTTTCCTGCTATAGGTACAATGCAATTTGTTGAAAAAGTTTGCGGTTTTAAAATTATTCATCTAAGACAGGTACACGATTAAAATATAATTGAAATGAGATTTCACAAAACTTGCTTCTAAATCAAATCGCACTTACCATCGTAGATAAACCTAATCGTACGTACTAAGGCATGTACTGGAACAGTGGAATTGTCTTCAAAGACATTCTTACCGTGGTAGCTTAATTGTCTTCAAAAATAATTCACAAGTTTTGATGATTTTAATAAAAAGAAGAACACTGAAAATTTCTTTCCGCATTAATGTCGAGTAGCGACCAATAGGTCATAAATCACTTTTAAATAAACTTTGGTCGTAATGTTTCAGAGCAGTGAGCTGAAGCGGGGAGTCAAGATGGTGTCCGTCAAAATTGTGGTGAGTACAAAATAGTAAAAAAGTAAGAAATTTTAATAATGACAATAATCTCGATAAATATACATATAACTCAAATCTTGATAGGATGTAACTACCTACAATTCTGTGATTTCTGAAGCAACACAACGCGCATATAAACTCATCAATAACTGTAGAACATTTTATTACTAATGTGCAACTCTATTAAGTTCGCCTAATTTGTTACATGATGATGTATATCATTCTCATTATACGAATTGCAAACAGTTATCCAAACCGTGGCTTCCTCGCACATTGACGACGACGCGTGCGCAGGCGCCACGCAACTGGAACGCTCGAATAGTTTATTATTTAACACGTTATTATAACATAGTTTACACGTTATTATTATGAATGGCATAACAATGTCGGTTAGTTGTAAAGTGGTGGTAGTTTGCTTCTTATTGTCTCTGGATCTTTCCCAGCGAGCGTCGAGAAACGTTTAACGATTGCATGAACGGAAGCTGGTCCAGTACGCTTACGATAGCATTTTGTTTTCATTGCCCGCGCGTGCTATTGCGGATGGACAATCGAGCGGTTGGCGCGTGGTGCCTGCTCTGTTTTTGGAAACATTCGACTAATAGGTCAAATGGCGTCGTGGACAATGGTTTCGTTGCGTTTTCGTGCGAGAGTAATCCATCATAGGAAAAACATCGGCATTAACTCAGACATTCCACGAAATCGCCGCAGGTTGAACATAAAAAGGAATAACGAATGTAGTTTATTTTTAAATAATTGTACAAATATCAATCTCGATTCGGATCACTGTGGCTGCATATACCCTAAGACTTAGACTTTAATTCGTAGTTACGTACATTTGTGAAATCCCTAATCCGCACTTTGTTCCACCGAGCAAACTATGGCTTACGATGATGACGATGAATATTCAAATATTAAAAATATATTTAAAAGATTTTTGGTACATTTATATACAGCCTACGTGTTCAGGGAACTTCCGTCTTCCAAGTTAGCAACCCCGGAGATTCAGGTGAATTTTTCGGAATCATTGTAACAATTAATACAAACATCGCTTTACTCTGGTGACCCCTCTGAAAATGAGTGGATATATAAACATTTACCAATGAACACTTAGACAATTTGCTATTTCCACTCCTGTTAAGTACTGTTGTATATCTGGAGTAGTCGATGAAATTTGTAAAGTCTCTGAGTTGTGGATGCTTTATTTGTTGTACTTCAGCGTGCTGTGAGCTGTTAATTTCCCAAATACAAAATAAACAAAGGAGCCACCTTATATGTAGTATGTAGGAGAATTCACCTTGTTGTTCAATCTACCTGCCCGATTCTGCGTGATGGCACCCTATTCTGGACAGTCTTAAGAGGTCTGTCGGTCACACTAATAAAGGTGCCGCAACTTGACTCTTCTATTTATAACGCAGTTATCTAATTTGTCCACATAAATATTTCTTCCACGCATAACCCGGTCGGCTCTCGTAATGTATGCACAATGGTTGTTTCCACTCTAACCGTAACTTACATGAAGTTACTATGATACTGTTTTCGGCTTGTTCCGGTTTGTTACTACTTAAAGACGCGGTAATTAACCAGTGGAAGCAATAATCACAAGTTATTTGAGTAATTTACTGTTAACAAAATGCATTATAACTAGGTAAATCCAAACCCAAGGCACCATGATTTCGTTTAACTAAGGTAAACGATTCTTTTTTGTGGAACTGTATACGTTTTTACAACAACACTTCGAAGCATATATAAGATTATCATTTCCCAAAAACTTTTAACTTAAAACTTACATCAAAAGTATTTTAACTGAAAAGTCTTATTACAAAACTGAAAACTACTTGCTAGATAAAGATGTATGGAAAGACGACATGAATCTAGATTCCACATAAATATGATTCAAAGTGTATTAAACTTAAAAATGACGTTTTCAAAGTGTCAAAATTTTACGGATGGAATAAATAATTATTTGACTTTGTAAGTTAAAAATTTTGAGCTTATTTTTATTTCATAGGATAGTCTAGTAGTCTTCTGCCTACGTACTTTTTACAAATGCTATCTATTTACAAATCATATATACGGGAGCTGTCACAAAAAGCTGACAGAATAAAGGTCGGTCTATTCTCAAGGCGGTCGTTCTATAACGATGAATCTTCGCCTCGCGACTACTTGCGAGTGATAAAGGCTATACAACATGCGACAGAAGACACCACGAAAGCGGCCCGCATTTGCTATCTGAGATAACCGGTATTTTATTTTAACAATATGTCGTTTTTCGGATAGAAGTAGCGTCTGCCTTGTGCTTGAAGGCGATCGGGAAATAAATGGCAAAAATGAATACAATAAGTACATCAGTTAAATTCTACATAATATATTTATAACACTATCTCTTAGCATGCTTCTTTCGATTCCTGTACTTGCACCAGCCTCTTCGTGCACATTCATTGTTGGTGCTTTTGACCTGGTTTTTAATATTTAATATATTTGTATGTAATGCTATCTGGACGAATTTTGTACCTTTTAAATTTGAAATTATGAGTAAATAATCCTGATACATACATTATAACGAGCCATTTTGAATTCCAAATCGTTGCAATTCGCTATCGTCGCAATAAAGTAGATCTTATTTGGACAGTAAGTATATTAGTGCGTCAATGCGTGATTTATGACTAACATTGTTTCAAACAACTAGAGTACGCATGACAACACGACTCATGTTTGAAACTATTCTCGAGTGCCCAAATCGTGTGCCGCAGGCCTGTTTCTAATCTTCGCTAAGGAAATTTGCATGTCCATTACTAAGTAAACTCTTGCACACTATTGTAAACATTTGCCAAAGACGGTGTGTTATAACACGCAACGAGATTTGCCTAATTGCCGCATTCCGAAGAGAGGCAGGCTAAGGACTATGAAGAGAGGATGCGAAACACATTCTTTTATATTCAATTTTAATGATGAACAGATGAATTATTTTACATAATTACCTAACGATACTAAAAACGTATTCTGGTCAAGACTATGAAATGGAACAATTTTAAAACCAGATAAAACATATTATATTCATAGGAAATGAAACTATTTTTCCGGATTTAAATCGCGTATATTTGTTATTTCAAACAATCCAACGTTTCGAGCCTATTACAGGTCCCATGGTCATGGTTGTTTGAAAAAACAAATACACGTAATTGAAATCCGGAAAAATAGTTTCATTTCCCTTGTGTAATAATCGCGAAAACCAAAGAACTCGATATCTTATATTCATTTCAGATCAAATTTTTTCATTACAAATGAAACATTTTTTTCTGCTATATATTTGTGTTTTCCAACAAATCAGCGTTTTAGTCTCCTTACAGTTCCTACGGTTAGTTTTCCACATACGGTTAGTTTAGATTAAATTCGAGATAACACCATACTAGGTGTGCCCTAATAAATAATGTTTAAATCCTAAGAACTGAAATTTTAATAACATTGTATCATTTAAATGAAGAATATAATAACATTGTAAATATGCTTGATATGAAAGAAAACAAAAATCTACTTTTTACCTCTCTTACTTACGCCGAGTGACGCGCTCTAGGGCATAGCACTCAAAATGTTTCCTTTATCGGACAGTTAAATTTTGTCTAGTATTTTATTACATATGTTTGAAAAATTTTAAAAATGTTTTAATTACAATTTTTAATCGAGCAAAATGTTTACAACCATGATCACTTTCGAGTCCTAAAACGTGGATATACTTTTCTGTACACCTTGTATAAACGAACTTACTATTGAACAATATAGAATACATAATTATTGCCTATCACTCTCCACGTATTTAATATGTATCAGTTCCCACGACTTCCTGCAAGATTCTTCCCTGGCATTTATTGCCAAGGTAATATTGAATCATTTTCACCAAAGACCATAAAGACCATAAAGTTAAGTTCCTTGAACAGAATATTCATTTATCTAATTTAATTCTCTGTAGTTCTCATTGTGTGCAATTGACTATTGGCCACGTCCTCATTTTAGTAGCATTAGAGTTCCTTGTGATAGAGCTCGTCCAGGGAAGTACTGCCATCCTACCTATTTCTGCCGCCAAACAGTGATGTCAGCATTACTGTGTTCCGGTTTTGAAGGGTAAGGGTGCTGGTGAAATTACAGGCACATGGGACTTGTCAACTTATATCTCAGGGTGTCGGGCGCAGTGGTAGTGCCCCTCTGATCTTTGCTCTTTTAAAGCTCGGAGTGGCACAGCACCTGTTATGGACAGGTGTGTAGTTTACCATCAGACGCATCACTTGTTCGTCCCGTCACTTGATACTCTAAACAAAAAAAAAATCTAAATTAACCCCTATTTTGCTCAAGTAGTAACGGGTGCCATCCCAATATATTCAGTTATTTGTTTCTATGACTTTTAAAACCTATTAATTAAAGGTTATTAATGTAACTAATATAAATGTCATAGAGCTATCATTCCGCTATTGTTAATTCTGCGCTGCGTTGGTGCAAAATCATTGTAAAATTTGTAGTTAGTTTTCGTTTGGATAGCAAAGGCTGAGCGCACAAAGATGCGCTCACGCAACGCGACCACAAGTTATGTCACGCCTGCCTCAATCATAATGCACTGCTCTACCCCTCACCGCCACACCGCCACACCGCCAGACCACGCCGCGCCGCTATAGAAATAAACCAAGTACTTGCGAGATCCACAACAAAGTTCTTTAGATTGCGTCTGATAACATTGTTACTCAAGTTAAAAGGGTTCGTAGTTTTAAATCGTTACCTCATTTGTTTACGTATAACTTTTTTGCTTCATTTGATAATTTTCACAACAAAAATACAAGAAAGACAATAAATACGTTATAGTTTATTTTTTGTCGATGGACTAAAACGAGTCAATATATACCCGCGGTGGTTAGCCATCCGAATTTTAACGAGGGTTTCTATTACTCCGAGTGTTTATAATATATTGGCTTTAATTCTTGAAGTGGAAAGTTTACTTTTCACTTCGATTGCGAGAA